CAAATTGATGTGTAAATGGAAAAATTTGTTCTTCACCTTTCCCACTTATAGTCTTTTTGCTGGAAGTGGTAAAGTTGATAATTAAGAGTTGGCTCTGAAGCCACATCACCTCCATTCAAACCCCAGGTCCACCGCACAAACCAAGTTATCCAGATTGAATCATTTACCCTCTTTGTGCCTTTATTTTTTCTTCTGTAAAATAGAGGTCATTGTTCTTACCTCAGTGATTTTTTGTGAGGACGAGTTAGTGTAACAATGCCTGGCACACAAAAATTATTAATTAAATATTATCTATTATTATTATTGAAAGGGATGTTACAAATTCACTCACATATCCATACTTTATTACAGATATTCCAATTTAATTAGTGGGAATTAAGTTAACAGAAGAGGGAGAAACATATCCTGAGATACTAGATCTCAAACTGCATATCAGAACCCCCTAGAATTGCTAGGATGATAACTTGCTGGTAAGCACAGGGGCTTGGGAGAAATAGAGGCAGCATCTAATCAAGGTTTTGGAGTGGGAGATGGTGGTGCATGTGGGGAAGCTTCCTGGTGGGATGACATCTGAGCTGAGTCCTAATGCAGGAATAAGAGTTGGACGTGCCACAGAGAGTGTGTGGGCAGCAAGAATGCAGCTGGGGTTCTCCTCCATGCTGAAGACCTCTGCAAAGACATGGAAGTGTGATGGAGGTAGACACACACAGGAAATTGGGCATACCTGTATGGAGCCTATGCTATTATGGAAGGCGATGGCATAGGGAGAGGGTTGGGTGCTGAGGCTGAAGAAGTCTGCAAGGAGGCAGATCTTTCAGGAAGGGCTCTGTGCATCTGTCTCAAGTGATGGGGCATGGGGAAACCTTAAAGGATTTTCAGGAGGGGATAGACAGTGCATCCTATTATATTTATTTTGAAATTGATTTCTGGCCAATTTCATGCTAATCAGAGAATATACTCTAAATGACTTTTGTCCTTTGGATTTTTGAAGCTTACATTTATGATGAAGCATATGGTCAATTTCGGTAAATGTTTCATGAAGCTACATGTTTCTTTTGGTTAGTATTTGCATGGCATATATTTTTTTCATTCTTTCTTCCTAGTGCATCTGTGTCCTTATATTAAGATGTGTTTCTCCCCTCCACCCCAGCTTTATTGAGATATAATTGACATAACATTGTGTAAGTTTAAGGTGTATAATGAATTGATTTGATCCATTGAAATATTGCAAAATGTTTAAGGTGTATTTCTTGTAAACCATATGTAGGGTTTTTTTAAAAATTCAATTTGAAAACATGCCTTTTATTAAAATATGTAGTCCTGTTGCATTTAAAATAACTACCCAAATATTTAAGTTCATATTTACCATCTTTCCACTTCTTTTTTTTTTTTTAAAGATTTTATTTCTAAGTAATCTTCACACCTTATATGGGACTCGAACCCACAACCCCAAGATCAAGACTTGCTCACTCCAACAACTGAGACAGCCAGGTGCCCCTCCACTTATTTTGTATTTGACCTACCTGTTTTCTGTTTGATTTTTTCCTCTCTCAAAAAAAGCATTATTTTGGATTAGTAAACAGTTTTTTATTAGTCCATTCTCTACTACTTTAGGTTGTTAGTAATATGTTATTTATTCTTTTAATGATTTCCTTAGATACCACAACACAAATCTTGACTTAACCAAAGTCTAACACAAATGATTAGTTTTACCCATTTTCCAATTATGTTAAATATTTAGAAAATTCTGACTTTATTTATCCCCTCCATTTCTTATGTTATTGTTATCATGATCTTTTTAAAAATTATTTTATTTATTTAATTTGTTTATTTATTTTAGAGAGAAAGAGAGTGTGAGTGGGGGAGGGGGCAGAGAGCGAGAGAGGAAGAGAGAGAGCGAGAATCTTCAGCAGGCTCCACTCAGCGCAAAGCTGGAGTTGGGTCTCAATCCCACAATCCTGGGATTATAACTTGAGCAGAAATCAAGAGTTGGTTGCTCAACACACTTAGCCACTCGGGCACCCCACTGTGGAATTTGAAATGAATAAAAGAGAAAGATCGTGACAGGAGCGCCTGGGTAGCTCAGTTGGTTGAGCATCCAACTCTTGATTTCTGCTCAGGTCATAATCCCAGGGTGTGGGATTGGGCCCCGAGTTCAACTCTATGCTGACAGCTCAGAGCCTGCTTGGGATTCTCTCTTCCTTTCTCTCTCTGCCCTCCCCCCCCCCCACATGTGTGCGCGTACACGCTCTCTTTCTCCCTTTCTCGCTCTCTCTCAAAATAAATAAATAAATTCCACAAGACTTTATTATTGTTTTACGTTCATTATTAATTTATATTTACCCACATATTTACCCATTCTTTGAGGGACTTGTCATTCTTTTTTGCATTTTTGTGTTTCTGTCACTATCTTTCTGCCTGAAGAATCTTATGTTTTGTATGAAAAAGTTGTTTCACATTAAAAAAATTTTAACTCTTTTTTCTTTTAAAATATGTATGTATGTGCGTATGTATGTATGCATGTATTTCTGAGAGAGAGAGAGGGAGAATCTTAAGCAGACTCTACACTTAGTGTGGAGCCCAACACATGGTTTGTTCACAGGACCCTGGGATCATGACCTGAGCTGAAATCAAGAGTCAGATGCTTAACCAACCAAGCTATCCAGGTGCCCCCAATTTTGAGAATCATTTGCAAATATCATGTTCCCTTACCCCTTAATACTTCAGTGAATAGTTCCCGAGAATAAATGAATATTCTCTGTCAAATTCAAGAAATTTAACATTGATGCCTTGATCTAATCCAATTTTATCAATTGTCACAATAATGTTATTTATGGCATTCCTCCCTTCCAGGATTACATATTGCATTAATTCTTATGCTTTTTTTCAGGATCCTTCCTTCTATTATAGATTCTCAGCCTTTCTTTGTCTTTCATGATGTAGATATTTTTGAAGATTAAAAGCTAGTTATTTTATAGAATATCCCTCAATTTAAGTTTCTTGGATGTTTCCTCATGATTAGATTCAGGTTTTGCATTTTGGGCTGAAATAATATATAGATGCTATATTGCTAGGATTTCAAATATGGAGACACATGTGTCTACCTGCTCCTTTAAAAAAATTTTTTTTAATGTTTATTCAGTTTTGAGAGACAGAGAGAGACAGAGTGTGGGCAGGGGAGGGGCAGAGAGAGGGAGGGACAGAATCTGAAGCAGGGTCCAGGCTCTGAGGTGTCAGCCCCGAGCCCAATACGGGGCTTGAACCCACAAACCTTAAGCTCATGACTTGAGTCAAAGTTGTACACTTAACTGACTCAGCCACTCAACCACCCCTCTGCCTCCTCCTTATTGATGATGTTAATTGTGATTGCTCAATTAAGATATTGTCCAGTTTCTCCACTGATAGCTACTACTTTTTACTTCTGTAGTTAATAAATATTTTATGGATAGATAGCTTGTAACTATGTAACATTCTGTTCCTTACTGAATTCACTCTCCATAGATTTAGCATCTATACCAGTCAGGATGTCACCAGGAGACAACACACCAGTAATGTGAACAGGAAAAATGTAATATAAAGAATTATTAACTAGGAAAAGGTGGGTATCTACTAAAAAGAATGAAAGACATCCAGAAGTAGCAAGTGAAAAAAAAAAAAGGCAGTTACTACCTCATGGCTGAAGGAGAGTACACATGGAAGCATTGAAGGGACTAAGGATTTAGGACATATCTCTCTCCTTCCCCCTGGTTCTGGCACCACCCCCAACATGGGCCAAAAAAAAAAAAATGAGGGGCACCTGGGTGGCTCAGTCATTAAGCATCTATTTTTTTTTAACATTTATTTATTTTTGTGAGACAGAGACAGAGTGTGAATGGGGAAGGAACAGAGAGAGAGGAAGACACAGAATCCAAAGCAGGATGCAGGATCTGAGCTATCAGCACAGAGCCTGACACGGGGCTGGAACTCATGAACCACAAGATCATGACCTGAGCCAAAGTGAAATACTTAACCAACTGAGCCACCCAGGTGCCCCAGCATCTGACTCTTGATATCAGCTCAGGTCACAGGTCATGATCTCACAGCTTGTGGGATGGAGCGCCGCAACAGGCTATGCGCTGACAGTGTGGAGGCTGCTTAGGATTCTCACTCTCCCCCTCTCGCTCTGCCCTTCCTCTGCTCTCTTTCTCAAAATAAATAAACTGTAAAAAATTAAAAAACAAAAATCAAAGTCTAAATTCAGACTTTTTCAAAGATGGTGTGGCTACCACAGGAATATACTCAGCTGCTGGTGGGCACAAGCCAGAGTTTGCATAGAAATGACAACTGGGTGGGGAGAGTGTGGCCTGAGTGTATGACTATAGTTGGTCCGTTGAGGTCATTTGAGACGCGTGCTACTGGCCCTTCCCGGTGCCAACCCACTGGCTCTCAAATTGAGTGACTGAGAAAGGACTGAAGCCTTGCTAGGGTTAGCACATCACAGTGCCCTTCTACCGCCCTCTATTGACAAAGCCTCACATTGACAGCTGGCAAAGGAGAAAGGTTTGCAGAGTGAGAAGAGGCTTGCAGTAGCACTTCTAGACAAATGGTTTCTAAAGCAGAAGGGAACTCCACTTCTAAAGGCTTGGGGGCTGGAGCTGACATGGTGTAAATTGATTGCTGCTAGACCTAGGTAACCAGTCCGTCCGCCTGTCTGCCAAGGGATGGGGAGTAAGACTGGGGAGATTGCATATGAGCACATTACCACTTTTTTTTAAGGCATTATGTCAGATGCTTCATGTATATGGTCTCAACTCCTCATAAAAACCCTGAGAAATGAGTATTATTAGCTACATTATACGGATGAGGAGACTGAGGCTTAGAGATGTTAGATAACCTGTTCAAGACTGTGGATGAGTAATGGGGCCAGAATTAAAATCCCTGCCTCTGGTGCTGACATTCTTGCTAGACTACCACACTTTGGATGATATTTAAATGAGTGTGATTCTCTTATAGGTCGCACCATGTGGACACCTTTAAGACAGAACCAAAGCTGGGTTTCTGAATTTATCCTGCTTGGCTTCTCCAGTGATCCCACGTTCAACAGGATCCTCTTCATTTCCTTCCTTCTCCTTTACCTGAGCTCAGTCCTGGGCAATGGACTCATCATCATCCTGATCTGCCTGGACATGCAGCTCCACACACCCATGTATTTCTTCCTCTGCATCCTTTCCTTGCTAGATATGGGCTGTGTCACCACCACTATGCCCCAGATGTTGGTGCATCTCCTCGCTCACTCTCAGACCATCTCCTTTGCTGGCTGTTGGCTGCAGATGTATGTGTTTGGTGCCTTGGGCCTAACTGAGTGTATTTTCTTTGTAGTCATGGCTTATGACCAATATGTGGCCATCTGCCACCCACTGCATTATACTGTCATCCTCAGCTGGGGCCTGTGCACATGGCTGGCAGCTGGGACCTGGGCCTGTGGTTTCTTCTTCTCTCTGATCCATACTTTCCTCACCATGAGGCTGCTATACTGTGGGCCCAACATGGTCAACCACTACTTCTGCGAAGGCCCCTCAGTACGAAGCCTGGCTTGCATGGATACTCACCTTATTGAGATGGTAGACCTGGTCATCAGTGTCTTCATGATGGTTGCCCCACTCTCCCTCATTCTGGCCTCCTACATCCGTATTGGCCAGACCATTCTCAAGATCAAGTCCACACAGGGCCGCTGCAAGGCTTTCTCCACCTGTTCTTCCCACCTGACTGTGGTCACACTTTTCTATGCTCCGGCCATGTACATCTACATGAGGCCCAACTCCAGCTATTCACCTGAGCAAGACAAGCAGATCTCACTCTTTTACAATGTCTTAAGTGCTCTCCTCAACCCTGTGGTCTACAGTCTGAGGAACAAAGACATCAAGGGGGCTTTTCTCAAAGTGATGGGTTGGGGTAGGGCAGCCTGGTGAATTGAGAGACAGGAGAGGCCCAAGGTAAAATGTCCAAAGGGACAGCATTTATAAGATATGCAAACAACATTGTGCATTGGAGCCAATAAAGCACTTGGTCAGTGGAACAAATATGGTACATGAAACCAACATGGAGACCATCTTGATGAACTTGCTACATTGTGGTACAATAACAAACAACTCCATAATCTTAGTGGCTTACAACAGCAGAAGTTCATTTATTGCTCATTTTCCATGTGAATTGTAGGTGGACTGTGGCCTTCTGCCATTGGATTCTTGGATTCAATTTGAAAAAAGGAGACTCTATTTGGAATATCCCATTCATATGACAGACAGAAAAGCACACAAAAACTCTTAAAGCTTCTGCTCAGAAGTGACACAGATCTCTTTGCTGATATCCTATCAGCCAAAGCAAATCATATGGTCAAGTCCAATAGCAAAAGGGCAGGAAATATTTTCTTCCTACAGAAAAGTAACACATCACATGGCAATGGGTATAGATATATAATTCTTCTACAGTGAGAGTGGCAATAAAGGGGGTGATAATATTATCTAATATAATGGCACTGGATTGAATAGAATACATGTAATCAAAATGAAACATGGTAATTGTAAGTGACATAGTACGTGGACACAGTAGAGGGCCAAGATGATATAGACAATCAAAGTGGTACATATAATCAATGAATATCTGTAGCCAACACTGAAAATTAAGCTCATGGTATATGGAACTATGACAGCCCACAGACTTGACTTGGTGATGAAATCAATGTGGTTAGTGGGGCTGATGTGATATACTCTGCATTGTGTTGTGGCAGGACAAAGTACCTCACATGAAGTGACCTAGGTTCTAGTCCCAACATCACAACATGTTTTATGATTTGGACAATTCACTTTCTTTCTCCGGGTCTTACCGTACTCATCTATAAAATAAGTATGTTAAATGTAATGGTTTCTTTTCTTTTCTTTTTTGAGAGAGAGAAACAGAGCACAAGCAGGGAAAGGGCAGGGAGAGAGGGAGACACAGAATCCCAAGCAGGCTCCAGGCTCTGAGCTGTCAACACAGAGCCCGATGCAAGGCTCAAACCCACAAACTGTGAGATCATGGCCTGAGCCAAAGTTGGACGCTCAATTGAATGAGCCACCCAGGTGCCCCATATGTAATGGTTTCTAAGACCTCTATGTCTCTAAAATAAACTATACATACATACATAGCAGTGATTCTCATTCTTTTAATATGATAGCTAAAGAATATGAATATGAAGCTAAGAATCCTGGCACAGGGCCTCAGAGTTAGTATGAACATCCAGCCTCCTTTCAGGCTTCATTGGTGGCCCAGAAGCCTCAGGAATGAGTTGATTCAGTTCCAGTATTTCTTGAGCATTCATTACGGCCCAGCCAGTGTCAGTTCTTGGGGAAACCAAGACAGGTATCTGAAGAGATTTACAGTCATGAAATTACAATGCTTCTGGATCAACCCAAGAAGACGCCACAGTAGCCCTGAAGGACCGAAGACTTCACAAGTGTGAGGTTCTCTCAATGGGTGCCAGACACAGAGGACCAGACTACACCTCACCCCACTCCCATCCACCACTGCATATTTCAGCACTTTGTAAGCTCTCCAGAACTTGGAGTCAGGGAGAGAGGGATGAAAACCCCAAGAAGATTAGTATTATTTCTCCCACCACTGGGATGACAGTTCAAAATGGAAACTAAACTCAGTTACTGAGAAATGAAGGTGTAGCTATCTGAGGAAAGAAGTAGAGTTCTGTGAAAGAGAAAAATGGAGGAGGAAAGCCTGCTTCCCAAGGCCTTACCTGGGAAGGAATAAAGGTTTAGCTGATATCTGAGGATGAAAAGAGTCACTGTGCAAAGAACCAGGAAAAGGCATTTCAGGCAACGGGATGCTAGGCACAAAAGCCCCAGGTCAGGAAAGGACTGTGCATTTTCTGCAGAGCTGGAAGAAGGCCCATGTGGTCACAATAAACTGAGCAAAAGAGGTAGAGATGACATTGAGAAGTAAGCAAAGGATAGTCCTATTGAGCCCTGTAGAAAGTGTTTACTTTATGCTCAGTGCAGTGGGAATGCTTGGATTCTTATTGGGGAGTGGTGCAATTTTAGGGATGATGAGCTCCAGTGTGAGTGTGGCTTGAGGTGGCCAGAAAGGAGGTGGGAGAAAAGGTCATCAGGAAGAGAATGTCTGGGAAGTCACAGGCCAGGAGTGAGAACAAAGAACCTTCCTTTTAGAGAACTGCAGGAAGTATGGCATCCCTAGGGAGAATTCCAGGTGGAGGATACTGGGAGGGGTGGTTGTTGAATATGGGGCTAAGATGGCAAGAAGAGAGAGAACTGGGGAAAGGGAGAAGTAGGGACTTGGACAAGTGGGGTGATGAGCAGAGTCTGGGAATAATGAATGACTAGTGAGTTCTGGATTTCTGAGGTGATAGAGATTTTCTCTAGTACTTAAGTGCGGAGTTGGGTGCTAGTATAATCCCAAAGTATTCACTCAGAGGTGAAAGAGAGTATTTGGGTGGGTGGGTACAGCTGCACGAATGGGCTCCAGTACCTGGTATGACAAAATGCCCTGCAGAGGGCTTCAGGCAGAAAGTGAAGGATTCCATGGATTATTAAGGTATTCCTTCCCCTATCTGGGGAGGGGGTAAGAAGCTATGTGGTTGGTAGAGAAGACTTGCTAACTGATGAGAGCTTCTTCTGGCCTTGTGGGGAAGCAGGCTGCCTCAATAATGGGGGAGAAGTCTTCCTGGTTGTTGGAGCTCCTTCCAGAATGTGGGAAGTCTACCTGGTGGCTCTTCTACAACTAGATAGTCAGAGACCAGAGTAGTGGAGAGGTGAGTCTTGTGGCTAAAGTGTGATAAGGTTTCATAAATTGCTCAGATAAAAAAAATTGCTACCATTCATAATTCAGGGCAATAGATAATAGATTTTATCTTAACAATGATGAACAACTGTATTTTTTTTCTTAGATTATTGTCAAGTTGGTTTCCATATAACACCCAGTGCTCATCCCCACAGGTGCCCTCCTCCATGCCCATCACCCCACATCCCCTCTCCCCCACCCCCATCAGCCCTCAGTTTGTTCTCAGCATTCAAGAGTCTCTCATGGTTTGCCTCCCTCCCTCTCCCCAACTATTTTTCCCCTTCTTCTCCCTCATGGTCCTCTGTTAAGTTCCTCCTAATCCACCTATATGTGCAAAAATATGGTGTCTGTCCTTCTCTGCCTGACTTATTTCATTCAGCATAACACCTTCAAGTTCCATCCATGTATTTTTAAGCATCAAGGCTGAGGGGTGGGGTGGAGGAGAGGTGGTGACACAGTATTTTCAGAAGAATCATTTGGGAGACCTGATGAAGGGTTGGGTTGAAGAGCACTTAGTGAGGGAGACTTGGGCATGGCTTGTGAAGGTGCTTGTAGTGGATGGTGGCAGTGAATGGGGAGATGCTAAAAGATGTGACAAGGAGAGAAGCAAGAACACTTGATGACTTGGGAGTGTTAGTGAAACCGAGAAATCAAAGAAGCTAGCAAGATTTTAAGCCAGCTTTACGACTGTTTCTGCTTCCCTACAGTTCGTTGATGGGAGCCAGCCGATTGCCAACGGTCATTCCCGAATCCTTGGCACTGCAGAAAGAAGTCATGGCCCCTATCTTGCTGGAATTTGTGGTCTACAAGGCAGCACATTTCATAGGAGGTGGTTATGTACTTAACGTTGGGGTTAGAAATTATTGTTCAATAATTTCTCTGTTAAATTGAGTCTCAGTGAGGCGGTTTTTGTGGTTTTTACTCCCTTTTCCGCTACATTTCCTTGAATTTTCTCTAGAGGTAACATTCTTGGATGGGCTTCTGCCTAATCACCTGGAATATTTCCCACCCTGAGCCCTAAATTTCCTGTACCCCCTTTCTTCCAGAACTCTCCTTGGTTCTCTCTAATCCTTAATCCCACAACACTGCTCTCTGGCCTAATCAAACCTCTTTGTCAACCCATCTCTTCCCACTGTACCACTATTAACTAGGTGGGGAGCCTGGCCAATGCCCTTAATATCTCTACAATTCATTCTTTGTCCCTGTGATTTGGGAGCTTGAAGTGTACTGTTAATTCTTTCATGTGGTGTCTCTCCCCCAAAGCCCAGCATCTCTTCTCAAGCCCCCTTCCTTTCTACTTCCCAAAACAGGTACAGCAAATGTCCTATAAGCAGCTGTGAAATGCAAGGCCAAATTCAAGTTACAATCATCATAACTTCCATTAATACCACAATTATTATTACTTTCTTTGCTGAGTTCAAATCACCTTCAATGACATATGGTTGGGTTGAATCGGTATCACTTTCATTGGAGCCATCACTGTTTTATTGAGGACTATTAGTTAATGAAGGTTTGATAATTCTGAGGTTAAAGAGGCCTGATATTAATAACAAGGGGGCCTAATAGTTTTACATTTCCTTTGTGTTTAAAGTGAGAATCTGACAATATTTTTCCATGGCATCATTTCATTGAATACCTGTCACTTGTATCCATTAGGTGATTTAGACTTTCAAATTCAAAGTCAAATTTGAAACAGGAAAAGCTGGGATAGGTCAATGGACTGTGGGAATTCAGAAACATGACAAGGATAAAATGAATGCCAGGAACTCCTGCCTATTTTCTTCTTTTGTTTTCTGGTGGTAGAAAGAGTGAAGGCAAAATTTGGAGATTTTATGTAGGTTGGTAGGGGCTCTGTGTGAGAACTTACCTCTCTGATTCCAGCTTCACTGGAGTATTGCCTGTCTTGGTACAGGAGCATTTCCTGCCTTTTTTCTTTTTTCTTTTTTCTTTCTTTCTTTTTTCTTTCTTTCTTTCTTTCCTTCTTTCTTTCTTTCTTTCTTTCTTTCTTTCTTTCTTTCTTTTCTTTTTTTTCTTTTTTGTATGATAGGTACTGTGTGATCAGTAGAATTCCTGAGATTCTGTGAAGCAACTTTTCTGTGCCTCTTCCAAGGTGTTAGGGACT